CAATGTGCTGCCAATCAGGCTACTCACGTCTAGCCCTTCGATCAGCATTTTTGATGCTAGTAAGTTAGAAGTGGCTTAAACAGCATAGGTTTTCTAAACCATCTGCCCTCGTGACATCCTCCACAGTGGCATTTTCCCACCATCAATCTACAAAAGGACACAAACTGGGATGCTTGCTTAAAAAACATTTTGTGAGATCTCGACGTTAAGAGTCAAGACCGACCCCAAACTCCAGCAGGGCATCAGTCATTAGGGCGATGTCGAAAAGGAAATGAATGAGTTCCCAACGTCGAGTTCTCAGCTCAGGTCTCATCGTTCCGTACAACGAGATAGGATGGTCATAGAAATCCCTACAAATAACTCTAAACAAGTACAGGGATTCTGCTTTACTCAGACTGATGTGGAGAAGCGCCAAAAGGAGTCCAAATACAAAGAAGGGCTTAGAAACCACCCCGTGTTGCAAGCTAATATGAATTGAAGCGCTCTTAAAAGAACGAACCATCCACAGATAAACTTGTACCAAATTCGACAAAAGGCACACAACACGCCACGTTGCCTTGATAAAATATTCATGGCAGCACCTTCACCTTTCAAACACACAAGTCATTTTAGACAACATCGGAATACAGTGTAGAACGACACTCGTAAAAGGGCGAAGGCTGCATAACAATGGGAGAGCTGCAAACTAAACAGTAAAACTCTAGACTGGTTATATTCAGCCTTCGCCATATCATCCATATTCCGAGTTCAACATCACACAGTTCTACATCAAACAGGCCAATGCAAGAAATAAGTCTGCGTTTATATTGTAGATACGTAGTACATTGAAATAGCAATATAGAGGTGGTATGATGTTGTCTACCTTGGGGTCAATTTATTCCAGTTTGAGAGGAAAATACGACGTTGCAATTTGACAAAATTGGCACGCCCTGCACCCCAGGAGTTAGCAATCCTCTTGAGAAAGAGGTCGTGGAAGCGTTGTGTGGCGGCGTGCAAACTGACGAGGCGTCCCACATTCAAGCCACCGATTCGCATGCCTATGCGACCCCAGGCACGCAAAACTCGGTGTTGACGCGGACTCTCTTCTGAGCACAGCACCTGCAATCTAACCGTTATAGCGGTACCCATTGCATGTCGTTTAACTAAAAGCAGTTGTGCCGTATGTAGAGGAGTTGTGGAGGACGGATATGAATAAATTCACTGCCACAGGTACCAACATCAGCTATCATCTTGCGCATGCTACCGCCTTTCACCACCGTCTCCAACTCCACTCTCCACTCTCACCCCGCCGACTCTACCTGCCGAGCTGCCAAAACGAAGTAAGCGAGTAAGAGCAGAAGGTTGTCAAGACTTGTGACACCACCAAAGGTCAGGAATATCTGCCAAAGTCAGTTGGTGGCCCTTACTGCCTAGCGAGAGTCTAGGGGGTCTAATCTCAGCCAGGCCTAAAAGAGGGTTAAAATGAAGGGAACAGAATCAATTTCCC